TGCTGAAATGAGTAAAACGGCTGTCCTTTGCGTTTGACTTCTAGCAGTGTTCAGTGGAGTTGTAGCCCAGAGTGAGAAAGAACTTGGGTTACAGTAATACTTCAAAGGGGTTAGTAGTCCATTCAGTGATGCTAGTTTCTTTAGTGCTGTGTGCCAGGGTGTCCAGGAGTGCCAGAACACAGTGACTGTTTGATTTGGAAGTGTATTCTGTTCCAAAATTAATTTCCTCTGGGTTGATTTCATATATCCTTAGTTCAGCTGGACTGTAACCTTTTGGAAGTTATTCAAATGTAACAGGCTACAAAAAGGTTAGTTTCAAAATGCAAGGCGGTGCATGTAACAGGCATCCGTTCACATCCATCCACTTACATGAAAGGATGCAGTTTAATAGTTGTTCTAAAAAGTCACGGAAAAGTAATTTCTAGGCTTGTTAGTTTAGCTTTTTTTATGATGGATAAACTAGCCCTGCAAAGATGTTGGAATTTCATTGGTCTGTAAAAAGCATTTCCATACTACAGTAAAGCAGTATTGAACATAAACAAGTATTTTTGCATAACTAATTAAAATCCAAATCTCTGCTCTTGTAGCATCTAGAGTTTCATTTGCAGATCTGACTGGTCTGATACACTTTGTTTTCCACTCTTGTGCAGAAATTTGTAAATGCCTACGTTATTTCCATCCCTTTGGTCACTTGGATAACCTAGATAATGTGAAAAGTGATAAATATCAAAATTATGCTCCTGCTTAATGACACTTTAAAGTAATGAATAGGGATAAGAGTGTTTTATTGAACGATATGTAGGGTTTTTAAACTGGTGAATTGTGGCAATGACGTGACAGTCTGTTTCACTGTTGGAAGGGAAGGCTCCGATAGCTTCACTTCTTAAGTGTAGCCATACAAAAATAGAAGTTTGATGTAATATATGAGACTTCCGGTAAATTGATTAATGACTTTCACAAAAATGCCTTGTAAAGAAAACTTTTACACTTCTGGGTGTAAAACACTACACTGTGGGTAGTGTGACCAAAAGGAACAATTTGGGAACTAGGAAACTGTGCCACAACTGTTTTGCTGCCTCGGTCTCATAGTAAGAATTGTGTGAAAGCGATATAAACAATAAGCTCAAAAGTAGCAATGAAAGTAAAGAAAAAGAGAATTTAACCCAACATAAGGAGGCAACAAAAGCATTTCTGTGAAATCCTTGTTCTTTTGTTTTCTCTCATCTCTTTATGTCTTGTATTTACCCTCTTAAATCTTTTGCCAAAAAAACCCACAACACCAAAAACCAACCAACCAAACAAAACAACCCCAAAAAAGCAGCTGCAGACTTCATATCCCCAGAAGTGATTTGTGATTACTGGAGTTAGACAGCTTGATAGTAAGGAAAATTTTTCTTCCTCTTTAACAAAATCTTACATGTCTTTTCAAAGCTGCTTCCCTCCCTTTCATATTCTGGCAGGTAGAGAACTTTCCTTTGTGCTTGAGGGTTTCTGGTATGTGTTTCTGTGCTGTGTTGGAGTAGACGTGATGGGCTGTGGAGCAGTCGTTCCCACTTCAGCCGTCTCTTCTAAATCCCAGACTGTTGCCTTGCTCTTTGTAATGTCACTTGAAGAGCTTCAGAGTAACTTGAGAGGAGTTCTCTCTCAAGATGTGAACGTTGAAAACTTCTACTGGTATGGTTCTCTGCTCTTTGTCCTCAGTTTCTTTTATCAGGAATTGTGTGGAAAAGATCTTGCAGTAATTCCATTGAAATTGCATGTTTGTTCAACAATTACCTATTTTTTTTCTAACAATTCGACTCCCCTTTAAGTGAAAACTTGTGGAAACAGGTCAAACGTGTTTTACAGGTACACTTAGTGCTTAATTTTATGGGATAATGTGGGTAGTACAGGATACATGTAACTTCATTTCTCAAAAACAAATGTGAAGGGAAAGAATTTAAAAGATAATTACCTGCTGAGCTGGGTATTTGACCCATCAAGAGTTGATTTTAGGTACTTCAGATTCTCAGCTTGATTTTTCTTTTTTTGTACTTCGGTGGACAAAATGCTGTTTGTGAAGATACATAGATGGCCTCACTTGAATCCACTGAAATATACAAAAGTATGTTCTCAGTTTCTTCTTGTAAGTCTTGTCTCCTGGCACAGGCAACTGTGCTCTGTCCTCCCTCAACAGCTGACTTCCCAGCTACTGAGCTCAACCAATTTTAGAGGACCTTGATCTCAAAGAGCTTCAAAAGCCTGAGCGCCTGGAAAAAAAGAGAGAACCATAGTAATAACCCGAGGAGAGAAACTATAGCACGACCATATTGCAGTTTGCTAGAGAGAAGCAAGCGTTCAGGACAGAAGTCAGGAAACTTTGATCAGTGCTATTAGACACTAGGGCGCTGACTGTGGGACAGTGTCAAAGGAAATTAGATCTTGCTGGGTTTACAGGTCATAAAACTATTCATTTCACCTTACCATAGTCCCAGAATAGCTTCGTATAGCTTTTAGCCGTCGTTGGAGGGAGAATGCTCTCTGTAGATCTTTTATCTGTTTCACTGCAGCTGTTCTTATGTTAGATAGGGACTTATGACATAATAAGGATTTTTTTTTTTTTTTTTTAATTTACTAACTGGTTTAACAGACGGCTCTCTTTAAACTGAAGAAACAGTTGTGCTGTGGTATTGAGCTTAGTTATTAACAATAGGTTGTATTATATCTTGTTTTCAGATCGCGTTTCTTCTTTCAGTAGATGTGATTTCTGGATCAAACACTTGTGTTTTATCTGAGGAGGCACTTCCTCTCTAGCAGGCAAAGAGCAGAATTTGGTAATTCTCCCCTCTTTGCTTGTTAAAAAAATAATTTTTTTTGTCCATTTTGTTATGCATACTTAAGGTTTTTAGCAGGAAAAAAAGAATGTAAAAGGCAGTGATTGCATTATTCCAGTCACGCTTGACAAGGAACACAGGAGAGGGTACAAACACTAAAAATACAGCCATGCTCTGCAGTTCTCCATTTCAAGCTCCTTTTGTGCAGCCATGTGTGAGAAATTCAAATCCAGAATGTTTTGCATTCTTAATGTCACCTCATTTTTCTTCCCCTGTTACAGGCTTCCAAGCAGTTCTGGTTCGGTCTTACCATCCTTTTTCCATAGAAAAATCGGCCCATCTGGATAAGAATTAATCCAAAAAATGGGAAGCCAAGACTTCGGGCAGTGGGTCTTCCTAAATTCATGTGTATTACTTCCCTCTCTTCCTCTACTGCAGCCGATTAGATCTGGCCTCCTTCAGTCTTCCCACTGTTTCCCTGCAGAAGCAGTTTAGAATTTTTAATGCTGGTAGATGTTAGGGACAGGTCTTGGAAAATAAAAAAAATCCACAAAATAACATCTTACTTTTATGTTCCAGTTAAGAAACAAAATACTCTTGGCAGTGTGGAAGGGACCTTGAGAGGTCATTTATCTATCCTTTTGTCATTTAATCCTTATGAAGAATGGTTTGTCTGCCTAGAGATAACTTGTTCTAACTTGTTCTTTAAAACCTATGATTATACAGATTTTTGAAATCCCTCCCAAGAAATGTATTTCAATGCTCCAATTGTTACCTTTAGCAAAAAGGTCTGCTGTTTCTTCCCCTCTTCTCCCTACCTGCCAAGCATCAGCAAATTTCTCACACTCAAGTAGGTTGGGGGTGAGGGGGCTGTCAATTGAAACAGTGATGGAAGGTGGAAGGCAAGGGAGTCAATCCAGTGCAGCCATGCTTTGTGCTATTTTTCATTCAGTTTTGACTGCTGTTCAATTATTGTCATATACATTACATTATTTCCTTTCCGTCTAGATTGGACTCACTTCTGCAGTCTCTGTGCTATCCTGTTGCAATGCAGATAGTTCAAAAGCATCTCCAAAGGCAACTAGTGATTGATCACCTGCGAGACCTTCTGCTCTTAGGTAGTCAGAGTAAAAGCAGTTTAGGAGCGAGTGGTATAGTGCTGTGTCTCTGCACTCCCAAATAAAGCTTGAGGTGTTTGTCATGCTGTCAGCCTTGGAAGCACGTGCAGAGTGAGCTTGTGACTGCTAATGGTAGCGGAAAGGAGGGAAAACCAAAAGGATGGTACAAGTGGTGGTGTGGGAGCACTTTGGCAGTTTCAGTAACTGTAAAAAGCTGAACTTGGAGTCTGAAAGAGAGAGCCAATACATAAAGGAACAAGCAAAACCAGAATGAAAGTGTAGACAACGTTTCATAGACTGCTTGGTTTCTAAGGTGGCATTTTGCACCTGCGTGATTCAATAATACAGGGGCACAAAGATTGTAACATTGGTGGTAGGTCAGTTCTTTGACCTAACAAGAACCTTAATTTCACCTACTCTAAATACTGAGGCGGAGAACCATTGCTTCTTACCGGTACAGGAGGATCCTTACGCTAAGCTGGGTGGTCTGATCATGAGGGGTTTTTTGTAACAATAATGATACCTCATCTTTCTGTGTTGGAAATCTTCTTAATCTTGAATGAAGAATGGAAATATATTTATTTAAGCGTAGTTATTAACATTAAATTATTTTTATGTGCGGTTCCACTTATTTTAAGAAGTCGTAACATCTGCCTCAATTCTGACCACATATGCATGACAATAAAACGTATTTGACCGCATTTGTGATTATGTAAGAGTAAGACTTTATCCAGCTTTTCCATACATGTAGAGTTCTGAAGCAATGCTTATGACTCTAAAGCTATGTATTAGGACAGTGTACTGTGTAAATAGCTTATATAGTTTGCTATATAAAGTGGGAAAAACTTAATGATATTTGGAAATGATGATGGAAGAAATTTTCTGTTACACTTGAGAGACATAGAGAGTTTTTTTCCATTGAGCTTGCTACTTTTGTACAGTGTACAAAATACAGTAAACCATATGCACTTAGACAGCAGACCTCTGTCAGATGCACAGTGGCTTCTCGCTGCGTAAGTTTTGACAAACAAGCTGTTTCCCAGTAGTTTCTCCAGTAGCTAAGCCCATTTCTTACCCTTTTCTCTTCATGCTGCGGTATGAAAAATCACCTTTGGAGAGGGACTGGAAAACTTCAGTCTAGAGGGAGAGCTTTTATAGCTGTATACAGTATTGGCATGGAAATATTTCAGTAACCTTTCTGAAAGTCATTGCTTCTACTGGTCTATAATTAGCCACACAGGAAAAACAAAATCCCCTTTCAAGTATAGCAGAAACCAAATAGATTAAGTAACAAACACTTAAGTTATTTAACAGCTTTCCCTCAAATATACTAGTCACTGTAATAGTTGTTTATGTAGCTCTAAGTGGATAAGTACATGTCAACTTTAGTAATAAAAGGTGAACTTTTTGATTAAAACTTCTGTTTCTTTGAGATGTCACTTATACAATTGGGCTTGTTTTCTATCCAGATAGTATCTGCAGTGCAGTATTGCCATCAAAAGCATATTGTTCATAGAGATCTCAAGGTGAGTAGGAAAAAGTGTGTGAAGTGTGTGTGTCAGCTTCTGTACCTGTGGGTGTGATTTTGATTGTGCTGATAAAAAATAGTGTATAGTAAGCTTTCTGATTTTTTTTTTTTGCATGTGTTATAGCAAGTTTTGAGGAGTGTTTACAGTATAGAACCATTTCAAATAAAAGGAAGAGGATTTGTAAGGCTTTTAAATGTAGAAATCTAATGGCTGCTGAAAGATAGCGTCTCACCCTGTGGTCAGATTCAAATCTGATACGGGTCAGTGTTAGCTGAGAGATCTTTTTTTTTTTTTTAAAAAAAAAAAAAGGTACTTTGATAGAGATGTAACAAGTTTTAGTCCTGAACAGAATGAATTATCAGTTGTGATGATGAAACTGAAGTATGGCTTCTTTGTAGCTTGGCATGAAATGGTATATCCCTTCTTTAAACTGTGCCTTTTATATTAATAGTGTTGCTACATAACTTGTTCAACATATCATAGCTTTGTAACTTTAAAAAACAAACAAACAAACAAAAAAAAAAACCCAAACACCACCACCACAAAAAAAAACCCCACTTGAAAAAAGTTTAAGTTACGTGTATTACCAAACTTTTGCAAGAATGCCACATAAAGTATGGATAGTGAGATTATATCTTGTTTTCATCTTAATAGATCAAAAATACAAGTTACAATAGCTCAGGATGCATTTCTGTGGAGAAAACAGATAAAAAGTATAACACAGTTTTCAGGTAGCATAACAGCTCCCATAGTCTGAAGCCATTGTACAGAGATTTTTAGAATAGGGGATATGTGAATGATAGACTAAAGCATACCTAAAGACATTGCAAGGAAGGGAATGTTAACAGATATTTCAGCTTTTTGCATTTCAAGAATGAGTAAAACGGACAATAGCATTTTAAATCAAGTATTTTAAGTTTGTCTTACAAACCATTCTTTCTCCTCCAGGCTGAAAATCTGTTGCTAGATGCAGATATGAACATTAAAATAGCTGACTTTGGTTTTAGCAATGAGTTTACAGTCGGAAATAAACTGGACACCTTTTGTGGCAGCCCACCATATGCTGCTCCAGAGCTCTTTCAAGGGAAGAAATACGATGGACCTGAAGTAGATGTTTGGAGTTTAGGTGTTATTCTTTATACCCTTGTGAGTGGATCTCTTCCTTTCGATGGACAGAACTTAAAGGTGTGTTTTTGTAGAACATGTTGGGCATGTTTCCCTAATGTTTTAAGTGATTTGCTGCTTACAACTTACTGTCTGTTCTTCTTCTGTTACCAAGGAACTTAGAGAAAGAGTGCTAAGGGGAAAATACAGGATTCCTTTCTACATGTCCACAGACTGTGAAAACCTCCTCAAACGTTTTCTGGTGCTAAACCCAACAAAAAGAGGCACTCTAGAGGTAATGGCACAAATAAGGTGCCTCAGAAAGCTAGAGGTTATATTTTGCAAACTATTTCTGAGCTGTAACTTTTTATTGTCGTAGTGTTCCTGAATAGTTTATTTGGAGTGGGTTTGGGAGAGGGGTGTTGTTGAGTAAAGCATATGGCTTTTTCTTAAGATTTTGTTTGCTGGGATTACAAGACACCTGACTCCACAGTTACTTTCAAAATGAATGTAAGACTACACTGCATATGTCATATAACTTTTCCTGATGGTTACATTGTGGATTCCTCCATTAATGGATCATCTACCAGGGCATTTTCCACATTTTCAAATGTGAACTGGAAGTATTGACTGCTAGATTATGGTGTGGTTGCCATTTGCCTGCATTTTGTACCATCATGGAGGAGAAAGGCCAAAACAATACTGGCTTCCATGGACTTCCATAGTCGAGCCTGGACCTACTAGCCTTGTCAGAGTTGTCGCACTGCTCCTGGTCTGTGTTATGGGCTTTTAGCTTTCAGCTATGTGCTACAATACAGCTGATTGGGAAGCAGCTTGGCTTGATTCTTGATTGTTGATTCTCCTCACTGGAGCAAAACAAAACTGAGTAGGTGCTGGGGCCTGTTCTGGAAAAGAAAAACTAGAAAAGGCCTTAGTGTTTGGTAGAGAGAGGAGTTGTTCTTTCAACAGCTCGTTTTCTTTGGTGGTAAGTGTATTGTACTAACAAAACCCTTTCTTTTATAGCAAATTATGAAGGACAGGTGGATCAATGCAGGGCATGAGGAGGACGAACTTAAACCTTTTGTTGAACCAGAACTAGACATCTCGGACCAGAAAAGAATAGGTAATTGAGTATTTTTCAGAATGTGATACTGTTTGCATGATGTGGGTGGGTTTTTTTTTCCTCCACCACTCGGTATTTGTTTGCCATTTGGAAAAAGTAACTAATCTTTTAATATTGATATTTCATCAGGGTTTTATGTTCTCACATTTAATTCTTTGGTTAATTCTTTAAATGTTCCATTCTTTCTCTTGAACTTAAACACTCAGCCAGCCTAAACATCAGAGTGTTTGTTACTTACAGTGTGTGTGGGTTTTTTTTTAGATATTATGGTAGGAATGGGATATTCTCAAGAAGAAATTCAAGAATCCCTTAGTAAAATGAAGTATGATGAAATCACAGCTACATATTTACTGCTAGGAAGGAAATCATCAGAGGTAAGTACCGTTCTTACAAATGTAAAGAAAAAAAGGAATCAGAAAGTGTCCTTAGCAAAGTTACAAGCAAAAATTAAGTCAGTAACTCTAGGCATTACATTCCTGCACAAAAGTCCATTACGCTTAAAATCACATTATTTTAATTGTCAGTGTCAACTGTCCAAATGATGCTGTGTTTGCTCTCACCCTGATCTGATTCAGTAAACTCTTGCCTTTAGGCTCCCCAAAACTACCCTGCTTGCTCAGCAGTTACTCCTCTGAAGGACTGTGTATGCCAGTTACTGTCCTGTCTAGTCTAGGAGCGCAAGTGTGAATGTGCCAGCTGTAAATATTTTAAGAGAAGCAAGGAGCAGGACCGATCAACCTAAAAAAATTTCTTGCACTGTAGATTACCTTCCCATATGATGCTGAGAGGGCTCAGCATCAGTAAGCTGCTCTTGGTTCCTCTGCTGGAGGAATTAGCATGGTGGCTTCTAAATGTATCCTCTCTTCCTGTTAAAATCTTAAAGAACTCTGTGGAGAGAGTACTGAAAGTAGAGATGTATTTTCTTTATCTCATTGTCCTTTGAGGAGCTGCAGATTCCAAAGAGTTTCACCTAAGACAGTTGCACAAGAATCTAAGAGAAGTTGGGGCCTCTAAGCAACATTCTTGCTGTCACAAAATTTCCTATGTACCAGAGCTGTCTTCCTTCTGCCTCCCTGTTACTGCTCCCGTAATGTGGTGGATGTTTAATTTGTTTTGTCTGAACTCCTTGTTTTAATATTCTCATTTATATTGTAGTTGGATGCAAGTGATTCAAGCTCCAGCAGCAATCTTTCACTTGCCAAAGTTAGGCCAAGTAGCGATCTTAATAATAGCACTGGACAATCTCCTCATCACAAAGTTCAGAGAAGCATATCTTCTAGCCAGAAACAGCGGCGGTACAGTGATCACGGTGAGCAATTCTCATTTTCAGTGTTGCAGAATATAGTGACTTTCAGTTCTGTTCGATTTCTGAATTTGTCTCCATCCCCCAAAGGTAAGGAGGATGACAGCAGTGTAGCTCACAGCATGGTGGTTAAATAATTTACTGAATAACTGATTTTTTTTTTTTTTTTTTTTAAATTGGTTCTGTTATAAAGCCTTCAAAAACAGCTTCTAGAGGAATGCTGAATACACCAACTTCATTCTTTTATTCTGCCTTGTGTCGTCCCTTGCATTCCTGACTGTGCTGGGAAAATGTTGATACACAAATTGAAGAGAATGTTGCAACCCCCTTTTTTCATGAAAAGCACAGCACTCCTCCCCCATGCTCTGCTATGTCTGTTCAGCTTTTGTTTTCTTTTGACACTAGTAGGTCAGCTTGTGTCCAAAACTTGAAGAAATGTCAATTTGCCAATATTTCTTGTTTCCTGAGGATAGTGTCACTTGATTGTCCTGCAGGAATTAAATTTCTAAAGATCAGTGACTCAGACAAACTTAGAACTCTTCTGCTTAATGAGCGTGCAGGATAGTAGCGTAGGGTTTTCTAAGTATCTTAAACATCTTCCTGCCCAGATACTAAGTCATAGAAAGAGTCTCTGTTTAGGTCTACTTTTAAATACCTCAAGTGCATTCAGAGCTTGCTTTCCTTGGGGAGTCTCCTGGGATGACGGTTATTGTGTTTTGTGGTGCTTTTTAATAT